TGGACCATGTGGGCTTCGCCTCATCTGTTTTATTTTCTCAAGGATCACAGTCTTCATTGACTGTCATCCAATATCTGAAAAGCAATGATTTATATATTTTGTGCCATTTTCTAGTTGTTTACAGCTGAAGGAAATTTTGGTACTAATCTCTTATTACCAGAAGCAAAATTCTGGAAACCTCATTATTAACTTTTAGATGTTTATTTTATGCTATACTTTATTAATTAATTCAACAGTGTATTACTCAGTATTTGCTATGGTGGCACACATTTAACAACAACTTAATATATAACATATGTATATTGAGCTCATAGGTCAGTATATTCTTTTTTTCATTTATTTCACCTGGTGTTTACTGAATGTTTTCTATATGTAAATTAAAATGTTTATTCAACTGAGGAAATATTTATTATCTGAATATTACTCCTATTCAGTATGATGTGTTTTTATGGACATAAATTCGCCTGAGATCAAAGCTCTTATGCTTTCTGCATTATGTTTTTTCTTTACTTCTTTGTTCTTTATCTTTTAATTTTGAAAAAAAATTCTCAAATGTGTTCTCTGCATCACTGATTAAATTTTAGATTGCTATTTCTGTCTTATGCTCCTTCTCTTGCATTTATGGTTTCCTGAAATATTTCTTGATATAATAGAGCTCTCTTTTTAAATTGGTCTACAGTTACATCATTTTCTATTTTATCTCTTTTTCATAGTTAGTGATTTTTTTGCCTTTATGGAAATTATATACAAGATACTTTTTAAAGTTGTCTTCTGGTTTCTGTAGTATACTTTTTTTAAAATTGTGTTTCCTCCCTTACATCTTAGGTATAATGGTATTCATCTTGTAAGTACAACACAGATTCCAGCAAATCTTTTCACAAGTTCCTCATGGTTATTAGTTCTTTCTTTGTATTTAACCATGAAGGAAAAGGTATATGAAACTTAATGGGTGCGTGGATTTTCCTCCATTACAGCATCACTTTCCACCTGGAAACCATAAGGATCCTCTCACATTAGATTCCAAAAGCTGCTTTGTGTACTTAGTCTACTTCAAACTTTTTAACGTTGGACATATTTTTGTGTTTTCATAATATTCTTTTAATAAAGTGGAAAAGGGAAAATCAAGTGCCAGTGGAAATTTTGAGTGTAGAAGTGTCAAGAATATTAGAAGAGAACATTCAGTAGAAATTAGCAGCTTGGGATCATTCATTCACTCTCATGTCTTCTAGTAAACGCTGGAAGTCCCTGGTATTTGAATTAATGACCCAGATTCTCCTAGTGATCTCAGACCCATACACCCACTTCTTCCTAAATATCTTATCTCAGTCCCACAGGTATCTCAAACTCAACATGTCAAAAATAAAACTCCTCATTTCTCCTTTATTTCCTACATTTGAGCCTGCCTTATCCCATAGCCTCAAGCAGACAGCTGAGATGCTTCTTAAACAAGCCGTTGTCCCTTGGTGAGGTCATCTCATCTGTCATTCACACTCTGGATGATCTGCCCCATGAAGACCTGACTTCCTTATGCACTCTGCCTGCTGTCCCTGCATGGCTCTCTTGTCTGGACGTTAGAATCAGTTTCTAACTGGTTTCTCTGCTTCCTGTTGTGTGCCTTAGGAATCCGTCTTCTCCCCTTATTCCAGTGCTATTTCTAAAAGACAGATTTGGCTATGTCGTTATCCAATTTAAACGATTTCAATATCTTCCCTTTCTCCAAAAGACAACAACCAGGTTCACTAGACTTAAGACTCTGTAACCAATGAAAGTGCCTGTGAGCACCCCGGGGGATGTGGTGAAGGCATAGATTCTCATATGGGTGTGTGGGTGGGGCTGAGATTCTGCACATCCAACACTTTCCCTGGTGACACCCATGCTGTTCCCCCTTGGACCACACTTGGAGGAGCACTTCTCTAAGGTATATCTTCCTAATCTCAGGCACCTCTAGACCCATCTTTCTCTACACCCCCTCCACTGCACTCCTATCCTTTTCACCATTCTTACCCACTTACAGTTCCTAGAAAAACATCTCTGTGTAATTAGTCCTATAGCTTCTTTTTTCAGAATGTTCTTCTATTCCTTTTCTACCCAAAGAACATCTGCTCCTCTCTCAACCCTTGGTATGAGTTGCAGTTTATAATAGAATCTTTTCTTGTTTCTCTCCTGTCCCACAGGTAGACTGACTTCCTCGTTGTACCCTGGCTATTGCAGGTAGAAGCTCCTCTTAGAGCACATGTGTTACTTTCTTGACCTTTTGTTTACATAACTATTTTCCTTACTAGTCTGCCAAACATGAAGGGCAGAGACTATGTTACACCATTGGTTGCTAGGACACCATCTATCATATTGCTTGTATTTAAAACAATATTTAGTATTTTGTGTTTCTGTGCCTGATTTATCTTATTTCACTTAGCATAATTTCTCTGATTCCATCCACGTTGTTACAAATAAGACAATTTCTTTATTTTTCAAGGCTAAGTAGTATTCCATTGCATATAAATACCAGATTTTTAAAAAATTCATTCACCTGTAATCAACCTAAGTATTGATTCATACTTTAATTAATTTTATTTTATTATTAATTAATTAATAGTTTTATTAATTTAATTAAATTAATACCTTAAAATAATTTTTTTGCAAGAACTAATAAAGAGACAATGAAATATAAGAATGAGTTGAATATTGGTTGGAAATTTTGCATATAGTTGGATTAGTTTTCTATAGCTGCATAATGAATTATCACTGACTAGGCAGTTTAAAACAGTACACATTTATTATCTCATGGTTATTATGGGTCATAATTCCATAAGTTCTCTGCTCTGAATCTGCCCAAGCTGAAATCATGGTGTCAGCCAGGGCTGAGATTATCACCTGAGGTTTTGAGTCCTCTTCCAGGCACATTTGTGTGGGCAGAATTCATTTCCTGTGCTGATGGAACGGAGGTCCTTGTGATCTTATGAGCTATCAGCTGGGGCCACTCGCAGTTCCTAGATGCTTACTGTGATGTGGTTGTTGGCCAAAGAGCCCCCACTGGCCGTCCATCACAGTGCTGTTTGCTTCCTTCCTGGCCAGTAGGACTTTGTCTCACTGACTTCCTCCTGCTCCCCAGTTTACTATGATGAAAACTTATAAAATGTGATGTAATCACAGGGGTGACTGACTATCCCAACATTTGCCGTGTAGTGTCACCTAACCCAGGGAGTGATGCTAGACCATCCCATCATATTCACAGGTTTGGCTTTCACTCAAAGATCAAGTAATATACCAGTGTGTACATTGGAGGGTGAAGATCTTGGAAAGCATCTTAGAGTTCTCCATACTACAATAGTTAACTGGAAAATTGAACCGCAGTCATCACCAGTTTTGGGAAAATGGGAAAGACGGTCAATATTGAAGAGGAAGATATAATGAGACTAAAGTTCCTATACTCTATGTGAATTTTACCATCACTGCATGCTAGAGCTAGTTTTGTGTTTAAATTCTTTATTTTATAAATGAAATAGAATCAGAGAAACTTGTAATTTGTGGTAGAAGCAGAATTCCTGACTACAACTAAAGTGATTGGTCTTTCTTCTCTTTTGTAATTGCCTTCTGTTCAACTCATAATAAGGAACAAACGTTATCAGGCTTTGAATGGTTAAATATGTTGGAAAAGGGGTTTAATTTGGAATTAAATCTGATTAATCACCTTTAAATTTCGAATTCAACTTTATCAACACCAAATAGAATCTTAAACAACTTTCAAAGAATGTAGTTGATGGCTTTTGAATTAAGATTGGAAGCTTATCTTTTGGCAAATCATTCACATGAGGGGGCCTGTGGCATTAGCTTCAGTTTAACCTTTTGGAAAACCAGTCACCAACTCTCACCACAGGTTTCAGCTACATGTGTAGAGGTTGCATGTTTCTTCTCAACACACCCATCTGGATATTGGCATTTGAATGACAGGTGCTTAACATTATTGAACATTTCAGGTTTACCTTTTCATCCTCCGTATTGAATGGGGTTAAACTTCTGAGCTGTGACAGTTGATGTAATGACAGTATTATCAGTTTTCAAGTTGTTAACACTTTCACACTTCTGGCTTATTCCCTTGGGATAGTTCCTTTCCTTCCCTGAAATCCACCAATGATCTATGTATCATAATTCAATATATTGTCCCTCACCATGCAAGCATAATTAGGTCAAACATTTTTGCTCATAGGTAACAACTCTGTTAGGCAATTCTCAATTCCCATTATGATTAATGTAAAATCTACAGTGTTTCTATTAATGGAAATGTACGCTGAAGCGTTGACGATCATAAGCCATAGAAACACCCTGTCATTACACTAATGAATGCAAAAGTTTCTGAAGCCACCAGAAACTCGGTAGCAACTATAATATCTGAGTATGCCAATTTGCAAGAAAATTAGAGGGAACTTGCAGTATTACTAACAACATTTTTGGAAGTCATTTTTGAAAAAATGAGGGTAAAAATTTTGGGGTTTGGAGCTTTGTTACACCATTTTCTGAGGCAAGAACACAGAATAAGAAAGCATGCTGTGCAGAACAGGTATCCGCTTCAAATTCATGCTTAGAATGATAGCATTAGGGAAGCATCTGGCACTGCGTGTTTCCGGGAAGACTCACATTAGGATTGCATGGGGTGGGAAGTAGGGGGATATAGTCAAAAAAACTGGGAGAGAAGCACATGATTTATATATCTCACAACTTTAAAAATATCCCTTATATAATAAAAATGAATATAATTGGGATCATATGTCCACAATAAAGATCTGCATTTAAGATATATGTGTGGGGGCCAGGGAATACTGTGTAGCCATAAAAAGGATGAGTTCTTGTCCTTTGCAGGGACATGAATAAAGCTGGAAACCATCATTCTCAGCAAACTGACACAAGAACAGAAAACCAAACACTGCGTGATCTCACTCATAAGTGGGTGTTGAAAAATGAGAACACATGGACACAGGGAGGGTAACATCACACACTGGGGTCTGTTAGGGGGCGGGGGGTAGGGGAGGGATAGCAGGGCATGTGGATGTTGGGGAGGGTAACATTAGGAGAAATCCCTAATGTAGGTGACGGGGCGGGGTGGGGGATGGAGGCAGCAAACCACCATGGCACGTGTATACCTATGTAACTGTCCTGCAAGATCTACACATGTACCCCAGAACTTAAAGTATAATTTAAAAAAAAAGATATATGTGTATGGGTATGTGCATGTGTGTGAGTGTATGCACTTTCTTTATTGAGTCTAGTATTTCTCCTTAACATTAACTCTTCCCCAACCAGGTTGTCTAGCTCAGGCCTATAAAGAAAGGCACTCTGCCAAGAGAGTGGTGGGCAGTGGTGGAGATGTTATAGGCAATATACATAAATACACGAAATACTTCCCTCAATAATAGAAATGAGTAATTTCTTCCAAAACCTTTTCCATGTATGGCAGGAGCAGCTTTCTGCCACCCAAACTTCAGGATTCAACCTTTTATAGTACATGCACAGTTGTTGCTGAGAAGTGGCTGCCCAGAGACCCCTTCACCAGTGTCTTACATATAGGTATAGTGTTTACCAAGTTCTACCAAAATAGGAATGAACAGAAGTATTATGTACCACCTTCAAGACCGGTCCACAAAAGCCTCCTACTTTTCCTTCTTCAGCTGGTGGGATGCTGAGGACTCAAAGGCCCTAGTGCATAGTGGAGTCACAAGACAGAAGAAACCTGGATCTCTGTGACACCATGTGGAGGAAAGCTATCTTTTCTTGCTCCAGGAACACTTGCACTGGGATTTACGTACAGAAAAAAATAAACCTTTATTTTGTTGTGCCGTTCAGTGTTGGAATTTGTTGGTTGCACCAGCTAAATGTTACCCTAATACAGAAGTCAAAGCCTTGAAGTAGATGCTGCCAAAAAGAAAAAAAAAAAAGAAGAAAAAAAACCAAGATGTCTAAAATATCTGACACCAGCTTAGCAGTTTTGTGGTAGACACTGAGGAAACAGACCTAGCAAGCTGGAAATTGCTCCTCTGCTGTAGTGAAACATTTGGTAAAACTGTCACCCTTGTTAACGTGGAAGGCAGACCAAGTGCCTACTGAGCCTGTGCATCTCAGGGAAGTAGCAGGAAAGAGCCAGAATGCTAGCATATGTTGCTCTTCCCTCACTGTGTTTGGCAAGGTATTTCGAGAAAGATGAGTTCAAGATAGAATTCACTGGTTTGCACACAAAAAGAAACAGAATTAAAGTATCAGAAATTTGGAGTCGTACAGGTTGGAAACAGCTTCTGGAGGACAAACAATGTGAAATAAGATTTTAAAAGCCTTTGAGCCACAAATGTCTACTAAAACTTCTCAATTAGGTGAATGACACAACTTTGTAGCTTGAACCTGATCAAGAGTGGGGCTTCCACTCAGAATTATTATTCCAGATAGCTTCAAGGTACTCAGCATCACCTTGACAGAGAGAGACACAGGGGCCAGAGATAAATGCAGAGAAATAAAGCAGGCCCCACTGTTGTTCCAGGAAAGAACTTCTGGTGACTTTCCTGGCCTGTGGATGCTGGAAGCACAATGAGCAGTGTGGGTCGTCTTTGTCAAAGCACTTAGTCTGCCCTAATAAATGCACTATCCCAAATAGTCACTTATTATGCATCGCTCCTCTCACAACTTGCACCGGCTCCACATTAATTTCACATTACCACTGTGTTTTAGCACAGAAGCATTCATTTAGCCATAGACATCATGTTGACTGAGTTCCTTACATTACTCTACATCTTGAATTAAAAGCTCCTAGAATGAGTAGACCAAAGTATATGCAATGCTTTTCATGCTGTTCCTAAGTCAGACAGAGTACAGGATGTACCATATACCAAGAGTTGCTTAACAACTACTCTTTTTGGATGGAAGAAATTATCAAAACTAGTATCTGGAAGAGATATTCCCTAAATGACTACCTACAAGTGGTGTCAACAGAGGGAAGAGAGAAATGCAGGGACTAATGTTTTTCTTTGGGGATTTATTAAGTAAGAATAACTAAAATAACAAATTTTTAGTCATGTTGATCTCTGCTGTCTAAAAATCATCCAAAATGTCATCTCATCTTTGCCTGGCAGAGAAGCTCACTTCCAGGAAGAGACACATTATCTTTTTCCTTGTGAAGCAGGTGCCATGCACAGCAAAAAGTAAAACCAAGTGAATGAATAAGTAGAAATTATTAGTTATTAAACTAAACTGAGTGAACTAATAATTAAACTAAACCAAGTAAACTAAATAAAGGGACCAACTACAGATGAGTCATGATGCTCCAAATCTAACATTTTTGAAAGTCAGGCATCAGTTTTTCTGAATATTTTTTGAATATGTATTTTTTAAAACACAGGTGATTGTTTTGTAAATTGTGGATTAGCTGGAAGCGCAGCATTCCCCTGGAGGAACCCTGTGCTGACCTACTATGATCTAGGGATATTGGAATAGAAGCAATGGGATACTGACTGTAAACCGTGCAACTATTCACCTTTGGAGCGCTCATTTCCAACTCCCATAAAAACAAAACTTCCAGAGAGATGTGCATTTGCTGAGCCTAGGGAAGCCACTGCAGGGAAAGGAGAGAAAGAGGAAGGGGAAGGGAGCCTGTGCACTGTTTCTCCTGAGACATTATAGGATTTCTCCAGCAGCCTGAGGTTCTCTAGCCGTTCTGAAATCCAAGTCTGTTCTGAAAGACACACACATCTAGGAGGGAAGAGCCTACAGAGGCATTCAGAGCGTCAATGATACACTCACATTGAATGCTGAGGCAGATTATCTTCACCTTAAGCTTAACGCATTCTGGGAAACCACAAAGAGAACTGCTCTGAGGGCATCCCTTAATGGCAAGTTGTAGAATAAACTCTCACTAGCATTTTCTGTGACCTCACAATTGCCTAAAACAAGGTGAAAAATCATATTTGGAGCCAAAATATCTTACATTCCTCATCTATTCCGCATGCCATGAATAAAACACTGACGAATAGAGCTCAGTTGGCCTAGCTGGAATGATACTCGGTGGAGAAGACTATTTCAGAGAGAAAACAATAAAAAAATGCGGACTGTTTTACCAGAAAAGAATTATGGCAAAGGGACTTTTGACAGTGATTGTATCAGCTCCCTAAAAAAAGTGTGTTAATTGTGTGAAAAGTCAAGGGTTAGTGTGAATGATAAGAATGGGCTTCCCCAAGGAGAAGACAGACATCAGGAGCAAAGAAGAAATGGGGAAGCCCACCCCTGTTCTGACCGAGATGCTGTTAGGAAGAAGAAATTGAGGTTGTAAGGGGCAAAAATCAGTGCTTGAGGGGTAGGAAGCCTAATAAAGGCTATGGAGATAAAGGAAAGCTCTTAGAACTGAGGCGTCTCCCACTGACATTTATGAAGAATTCGCTGATGATTAAGTACTGTAAGCTTGGCAGAAGGTTTCAGAGCAATTTTGGAACAACACTGGGACAATAGAAGAAGGCAAAGCTATTGACTGTCTAAAAGTGGACGACGGAAGATGTAGGGAACTGGAGGTCCTTAACACTATTGGATTTGGGCTTTAACACACTTGGGGGAATTGTACAGTGAGTCCTGCAGTCGTAGCTGACAGCATGATGCACGAGGACCCAGACCGTGCAATAAAATGAAGGAGGATCATGTACTTGCTTAGCACCCTCGGAGAAAGTGCAGGGCAAAATGAAGCTGGATCGCAGTCGGGTTACTAACTACTCTTTGATAAAGACATTGTATTTCACAAGACAGTACGTGACATTAGATGGTTAGGTTATGAGTTTGAAGCAACGTATTAGCCGTACCAGAATGTGAGCAGTCAGAAAGAAAAGAAGATGTTATAAGACAAGGCAAAAAAGTCCATTCAACTTTTTCCTGTGTGCATTTATAATTTATTTCTGATTTAAAAATGCATCAACATGAGACTAATGTTGAAAAAGGGGCTACAGAAAATGTGGGACATCAACATAGGTGGGGGCCATTAATGATCTGGGAAACTAACAAAGGCTACCTTCACTTCCTTACCCATGGAAAAGTTCATAAATACAATTTTGAAATTCTTGTCTTAAGGAAAAAGAAACATAAGCATAGGTACCCTAGTGCTATGGTTTGAACATATGTGTCTCTCTAATGTATCTATTCAATCATAATCACCAAAATGATGGTATTAAAGAATGAGTCTTTGGGGATGTGATTAGTTCATGAGGGCTCCAGAAGAGCCTTCAGAAAGCAACTTGGCCCTTTTTTGCCCCTGCATCCCTTACACCACGTGAGGACACAGCCTTGGCCCCTCTGGAGGACACAGCAACAAGGCGCTACTTTGGAAGCAGAGACTAGATACTCACCAGACACTAACCTGCTGACACCTTGACCTTGGACTTCCCAGCTTTTCCAGAACTATGAGAATGAATTTCCATTATTTATAAGATACTCAGTCTAAGATACTTCGTTATAACAGCAGGAACAGATTAAAATGCCTACCCTTTAGTTATGTCAGTGCATGAGTTCTACAAACATATTGTGGATGACATCGCAGCCATAAATATCTCTTCTCTTTGTCTGAAAAATGTCTACTCTTCTATTAAGCCTTACCTCAGATAATACCTTCCTCTCTATGACATCCTGACACTTCTCAGAATAATGCATTTCCTCCTTTCTGATTCTCTTGCATTCGGTCTAAACTCCATGTGTGAGCTTTATATTGTTGCAAAACAAATTATTACCAACTTAACATCCTAAAGTAACAGAACTTTATTATCTCATAGTTTTCATGGATTAGGAGTCTTTACATTCAGGCTGGGTGGTCTGCTCAGAATCTCACAAGGCTAAAGTCAAGGTGTGAGCTGGCCACATCCTCATCTAGAGACTTGGAAGTAAGGAGGGATCCACTTGCAAGCTTTTTCTGGCTGCTGGCAGAACTGTTTCTTGCACCTGCAAGGCTGAGGTCCTGTTTTCTTGCTGGCTGTTCCTCCATTCTGGCTTCAGTTCTAGACATGTGATCCTTTCCCATAGGCTGCTTCCAGGCCAGCAGAAGGTGTCTCTGTTACCTTCCCTCTAACAGGGTTGACCTGATTAGGTGAGGCCTACCCAGGTTAATCTCCTTTTTTGATTAAAGACAATTGATTAGTAATCTAGTCCAGGGGTGATATCTCCTGACACTCACTGGCGCCTCCCACACTCAAGGTGGGGAGATTTTACAGGGTGAGTAAGGGGGTGGGAGGATGGACTACAGGTTCATTTTAGAATTCTGCCTACTATACTCTGTAAAAATAAAAATGTGATATATCCCCATGTCTATTGCGGCTAGAAAATATGCATGCATACACAGTCTCTTCAGATCGCAAGCTCCGTGAGAGCAGAGACTGTGTCTATTTCTTTTTTTTTTTTTTTGAGATGGAGTTTCACTATTGTTACCCAGACTCGAGTGCAATGGCACGATCTCGGCTCACTGCAACCTCTGCCTCCTGGGTTCAGGCAATTCTCCTGCCTCAGCCTCCTGAGTAGCTGGGATTACAGGCACGCACCACCATGCCCAGCTAATTTTTGTATTTTTAGTAGAGACGGGGTTTCACCTTGTTGACCAGGATGGTCTCGATCTCTTTACCTCATGATCCACCCGCCTCGGCCTCCCAAAGTGCTGGGATTATAGGCGTGAGCCATCGTGCCCGGCCGAAACTGTGTCTATTTCAAATCAGGGGCTTGATAATCAGCAACTAGCATGAGGTTAAAGTACAGTCAGAATTCAATAACTTTTAAGTTAAATGACAGTAGAAAAGCAACATATAAACAAACAACAGTGAAACTTGGGATTAGGTTGGGAGGAAATAATGAAAAATAGATTTGAGAATGGCATAAGAAGATAGAAAACGAAAGGGGAAAACACCCTGGGAATTATGAAGGATATCTTCTCACAATGGGTTCAATTCAGCCTGTCATGTTTCATCCAGACTTCTTCATAAAGCATATACTATTTCACATTACTACCAATAGAACTGTTAAATTTCTTCAGATGTCATTTTAAGTCAAAGAGAAACAACATGACTGTCTCAGAAATGCAGGAAGCAGGCTCTATACTGTATTCCCTCCTGGTTACAGAGCTATGAGTGTGTTCCACAGAAGAGAGATGGAGCTAAGGAAGACTTTTGAGGAGGAGTCCACTGAGCTCCAATGTGTACACAGCAGGTTCAGGAAATGGCTAGATCTGAGACAGTCGCCTTCGGTGTGATTCAATCACAGCACTGCCATTCTTGAAAATACTAGTTTCTGACTCCAAAATATATATTTGGGCCCAAAGGAGGCCTTGTAGCTTTAAGCTGCTACTGGGTTTAATCAGATTATGAAGATGATTAAGGCCCAGAGCATGCCCCCTTATATCCTGAATGGCGTACTGAATAGATTGTGGTGTTAACCTAGTCATATTCTGCAATAATCATGACTAAAACCTTGGGACCTTCATTTCCAAGCCTATCATCTATGTAATGGACACAGAACAAAGCACAAAGCCTGAGACCTTCCTATCCAGCAGCACATTTACAGAATTTCATAAAAACCATACTGCATTTTACTGTAGTCATAAATAAGAATAATATAATTGATAAAAGCTTTACAGTGAGATGGAGGCAGGGGTTTGAGAGTTTCCAAGATGCTATGTATCAGGAGACTATATATTTTTTATTGCTAAACTTGTTTTTATAAGCTGTACATTTGTGTTTGCATTTTACAGGTCATTCTGAGAAGTGGGTCTCAGGTTTTTCTAGGCATGTTCTTAGAGGACTTTTCTTGTGAGTCACCAGTGCTATAGTAAACATGAAAAGAGACATCATCCTGAATCCGATGATTTGCAAAAACCACTGTTTGGGGCATGGAACGGTAGCAGAAAGAACAACTGTATCACGCCAAAAGCTGTGAACTTCAAAAATAGGGACAGACATATAGGCTGTCTATTCAGTGGTTGAAGTCTGATCGGACTGACCCAAGAAACAGTGGCAGAAGAAAGTGAGGAAGCTGGCAGTGATACTGATGAGGCTGACATTGAACCTGCAAAGTGAGGTTGGGAAGGGACAGTGTTCCTGACTGGTAGAGCAAAAAACAATGGAAGGCTTCAGACAGTTCTAGTTCCATTTCATGAAGCTCAGAATTTGGGGATTTCTGCACCTGGAAGCCATCATCTTCACGAACAGACTATTGATTTAACTTATCAGACATTTCTTATTAAAGAACTCTTATAACTCAGTGAAGACATGGCTCAGAAGTGGTCATAACCCTGGGGGCTGGAAAGGAAACACGTAATTCCTCTCAGACTTCCCTAAGAACAGGCAGGAAAGCTGAACTGACTGCCCTTGGAAGCCTGAGATTTGTCATTTGAAACGTGAGTACTTCTGTGGCTGATAAAAGGAAGAGAGTCAACTGTGCTGATGACTCCAGCTCTCTAAAGCTACAATAGGTCTGGAGCTACAGTCCTCATCTTCCCTTTGACATTTCACACCCTGAGTTTTCCACCTTTTATGCAAAAGGGGAAGAAGCCAAGGCCTGGGCTGCTTACTGGGGCCATCTTGTCTCCTCTGTCAGGGGAGGGGCAAATCAGGTGACTGGAATCCTGCCACCTGGTTAGCTGGAAGAAGGATTTAATTAAAACAAATAAACACACAAAATAGTAACATGGACTATCTGGGAGGAACCTGTTGCTGAGTCCTCTTGCGTCAGCGAAAGAATGTGAGTTGGAAACATACATCGGCCCCCTTCTCCCTCTCACTGGCTCTTCATGCGAGGGAAGAAGAGATCAGGCTGACTGGTCAGCCTGGGAGACTTCCTGAGCACGTGAGCTCCTGGACTCCGGCAAGGGGTGCCCCAGGATGCAGTCTCCCCTCTGCCAGGTGACTGGCAAGGGGTGCCCCAGGATGCAGTCTCCCCTCTGCCAGCAGCCTGCCATTGAAAGAAGAGCCTGGAATAGATACTATTTATTACCAGTGACAAAACCGATGCTGTCATCCTTCATGTGACTTCTCAGTGTGTTTCTCCATTGGTTTGGAATATGTAGGCAGAGATGTTCTAGGTGCTTCTTTCTCCTCAAGCCCACCTTGAGGCAAGGTGGAAAAGCACAGCATTTGATACCAAAAGCCTGGATCCAAGTTATTGGCTGTGCCACCTCATGTGCTCCTCACCAGTGCCCTGAGTCTCCCAGTTTACCTCATTTGTAAAAGTGAGCTAATGCTGTCTCCTCCGCAGGCAGGATTGTGTGGGGCTCATGCAGGACAGCGTGATCCAAATGTCTGTGATTAATGAGATCCATATATTTTGATCTCTCAGAAAAAAAAAGAAACAATCACTTCTTTATAAATACCAGAATAATTAGTTCCTCATGAACACTTATTTTTCTTCTTTGTTCTTTCACTTCTTTTTCTTTCCTCCCTCCTTGCATCCAGTCTTATCTTTTTTCACTGGAGTTTTCCTGCTAGCAGTTTCAGAAGCAGAAGCTTGAAGAGGGTTTGAGTGCTTTTCTCCCTAATTGAAAGAGTAGCTTCAGTAGGAGACATTTTAGCCTCAAAAAAAAAAAAAAAAAAATGAGAAAACCAAATCATTGGAGAATAAAATAAGAACTGAAAGAATGGGGAAAATAAAGTAATGGATTCTGAGAGGGAATAAAATGTTAAATATAGGAAAACCTTAGGGGAGAATTTCTGTGAGGTAAGTGCAGGGACATCAGAAAGGAAGCCACTGAGTGTTTAACAGGCTGTGGTCCTGGGAGGGAACTGCCTGAAGCACATGCGCTGTGCCTGGTCTTCGTACTTGGTAATTCAGGTCAATGTTTACCTGCTTTTACAGATGTGAAGACCGGACACCTCCTCTATTAAGGTTTACTATTATCTGATGAAACCAATAGCACTTAAATCGTTTTATACTATTAAACGTAATGTGCAATTGCACACTTTCAATAGTAATACAAAAATGTCTGGGGCATATTGTTTGTCCAGTCTACACTGGCCTGGACTCTGAACCCCACAGATTAGAAGTCACGACTTACTCTCTACTGGTGCTATTGGTGACATAAATGCCTCCACTTTTGCTACAACAACAAATAATAATAATAATGGAGTTCCCATGTATCAAGACATTGTGAAGAATTTTACGTGACACCTAATTCATGTTGCTATAACAAGATAGCATGCGCTTAAAACCAGTGGCCAGATAGCTATTAATGCTGAGGTAGCCAGTAGCTGAAGGTTCTCTCTGCAGTTATTGACTATAACTTTTAGCTGTTTGTTACCCACTGTTAGCTGTACTGACTACTCAGCTCCATGGCCTCACCTCAGTTTCTGAAATGATTTGATAGATAACATTTCACCCTGATGTATGATCACAGCATGTTGGCTAAGTTGTTTTTCAGTAACTCAAGACTCAGCTCTGAATTCAGCTCAAACCAGCCAAGAACACCAACCCTTAAATTGTATTTGCAAGTGTTCAATGGGTGAACTTTTGATGTCAAAAGCCTGTAACTCTAATGATGAGCCAAAAAACAAAAAATAAAGGAACTCCTCAAATAACCTGATCTATGGACCTTGGAATGTCCTCAACGCCAGCCAATCCACATATGACCCCTCATCACCCACCCCCCACTCGCTCTGTCCTGTCCTAAAACAACCCCATGAGTGACCCACTGGGGAGGCGGATTTGAGACCTGCTCTCCTGTCTCCCAACTTGGATGCCTCATGAATAAAGCCTTTCACTGCTGCAAATCTCAAAGTCTCAGGGATTGGCTTGCTATGTGTCAGGCAAATGGGCCTGGTTCAGTAAAAAGGCTGAGGGGCTTAAAACACAAAAATTTCTTTCTCACAGTTTTGGACTCTGGGAAGCTGAGGTCACAGTGCCGGTGGCCTCTGTGTCTGGCGAGGACTCACTTCCTGGTTTGCAGAGGCTTCTCTTTCCTTTGTGTTCTTACATTGCTCTAACTCTGTCTTTTCTTATGATTCACAAATCCTGCTATGAGCACTTTTCCCTTGTGACCTCATCAAAACCTAATCACCTCCCAGAGTCCCCCTCCTAATACTACCCCATGGGGGGGTCAGGGTTTCAATATAAATTTGGAGGGAATACAAACATGTAGTCCACAGCACATAGATTTTCTTCTCTTTTTTTTTTTTTTTTTTTTTTTTTCCAGGGACAGGGTCTTGCTATGTTGCCTAAGCTGGTCTCAAACACTTGGCCTCATGTAATCCTCCTTCCTCAGCCTCCCAAGCTGCTGGGGTTCCAGGCATGAGCCACTGTGCCTGGCCAATGCATGGATTTTCTTGTTTAATTCTTACAACAATCCTGTGAGGAAGATGGTTGAACTCTTTTTGCAGTTGGTTAAGTAATTTGTCTTTGGGAATTCAGTAAATCAGGAATCTGGAGCCTGAATTGTTGACCCTTATGTGAGACTGACTGCCTTGTCCAGTTTCCTAGGCACAAAAGCAGACACACACAGAGAGAGGACTGAAATAGTTAACTGACATTTACTTGGTTATATCAGTGAATAATTTAAACTTAAAAAAAAAAAAACAGGAGCAAAGACAAGGCAAAAAAGATACGATTGTGGTAACAAAGCCACTGGGAAAAGGACGGGAAATATTCTAGTGAAGGTGAAGTCAGAAGAAAAATGGGATTAGGAGAGGGATCAAGAGGCTGGGCCTGAATATTTATGGGCCCCGTTATTCACGTGGCAGTGACTCAAATGGGATGTGTAAAATGAAAAGAATCTGATTGAAAAGGAAAATCGTCAGTGGAAAGGAGAGAGAACGCCTTGCTATAAATAATGTCATTTATATTTTTAAAATCACACATATATATAACCCAAGGAAGGAAAATGCTTCAATAAAATAATAATAACTCAAGGACAGGTGGAATCATGGAGGCTGCTCTGTCTGAGTTCTGTGGTTGATAATTGTACAAACGAAAGATATTCTCAGCAGAAGTGGGGGCTGCGGTGTGACCCCTGGGAATGTCAGGGTTACAAAACAGCCCCAGAGTTTCTGCTCAAATGCCAGTTTAGAACGACAGCCCTGATGTACCTCCCGTGTATGGAGACATGACAAGCTGGCTCTCCCTCACCCCTCAGTGCATGTGACTTTGCTGCCATTCTCTTGCATCGCCCTCTGCACCTGGGCTGACCATAGCCTAGTCCTGCTGTGCTCTCGGCTCCAGGCCCTGGATACCCAGCAACAGACCCAAGCTTCTGGAGGTGGGTGCTATGTCACTTCTTGGATGCTGGTCATCAGCTCCTCATGGGAAAATGCAACCTGCTTTCCTTCCCATGACCCAGGAACTATTTAAACCCAAAGGGCATATGTGGACACATGAGGGTAAGTAGTCATTCTTTCAGTAAGTGAGGAATGAGAAACAGCTCGCTGCAGTCTAAGCTGTGTTGTGATAAGCTGCTTTTTGCCAGCTAAAACTCTCTCTCAGACTAAAAGCTGTTCAGGTTTTATGTTAGTTTCTTGAGCTGGACAGACTCCATCTTAGCTTTTCATTTTAGTTATTTTCCCACCATTAGGTATGTAACTGTAGTATGTAGCTGGGGCAGGCTGACACTGGGCACCTCCAGGAATGCATTTGTTGATAAGAGGCTGAGTTAAGTGGCACCAGCAGGGCCTGGGAATGCAGGTGCTGTCGAGCACCCAGAGCCCCCATCATCTGTAAATTGTATGTCTTTTATGACAACTTTACCCCTCACACCTGGCACTGTTTTATCTCTCATGCACCAGTTTATCTTTTAACTTTTTTGCTTAGTCTGCTTTTGTGAAAACTTTGCTTCAGCTAGATTCCCCCTCCCCTTCAAAACTAGGGTATAAAAGACCACCTGATATTTTTCTTAGGGGCCGAGAGAATTTTGGGCGTTAGCCACCTCTCGGTTGCCGGCATAATAAAGGACTCATAATTCAATCTCAGAGTGTGGCGCACTCCTTGACTCGCTCGGGTACAACAGTGTGAGGTATGCAGGTCTAGAGAGACAACAGCATGAGACTTGAGTCAGCCCCTCCACACCCAGGCCAACTGTTCTTGACCAACTGTCTCACCATTATATTCAGGTCCATAGCTTATGTTATGTTAATGTAAATTCTTGGTGATCAACTCAGGAACTGCCACTCCTTTTCCTTTAAGTATCTACTTGTAACTGCAGTTAATGGAAGTGTATACTCAGGGCTCCTTGAATCTGTGCTCAGGGGCCGCAGTTCTTGACCTTAGCCTAAGTAAACGTTCTACTTAGATTAATTTTATGTCAGCTTCTTCTTTTTAGATTGACGTGAGCAAATGTTTCCTGAGTGTCTGCTTTGCTGCAGGCGCTGAGTTTGGATGGGGTCTGACTATGAATAAGCCGGGCATGGGGCCTTATTTTGAAGATTATATTTTGGTGAAGGACATGTGACATAAAACCAAATGATCAGAAGAATAAGGAAAATGATTGCATACATGGTCCAGGTTATACATGAGACAAGTAGAACGTGTACTAATGAATACGGGACATGAGGCTAGGGTTGATTTACATGAAGCTTTTGGGGGAATTTTCCTAGAAGAGATTATACATAAGCTGAGGCCTACAGGATAAGTTAGAAAGATTTCCAGGAAGTGGAAACTGAGTGCAAAGGCCTTAGCAAGGTGGGGGTTGAACGTGGCATAGCCGGGGAAGATGTGGGGTCCTGGTCTGTAATGAAGGTGGGAGGAGGGGAGTTTGGTAAGCGGGACAAATCATAAAGGCATTTAGATTTAGGTCCTGACAGGAGGTTGGTTTTACATTCAGAACAATGGAGAGCCGTCGGAGGGTTTAAGAAAGGCAATAATGCATCCAATTTGCATTTTCAAGTGATCAGGCTGGCTGCTCTGAGGAGAATGGGTTGGTATGGGCACCACGAGAAGCAGGGATTGGATTTGTCCCAGGAGGATGGCACTCACACAGCACGTTCTTTAAGTGGCTTTCAGGATACGCGCCTGCAGGGGAGCGCACAGTGTAGCTGGAGATCGCTGCTGGGCTCCACTGCCAGTGAGTGGCAAGACGTTTGGCACGTCTTCTAATCTTTCTGGGGCTCTGTCCTCACCTGGATGAAAACAGTCACAGCTCTCTTACAGGATGGCTGTGATGATTTAATCAGATGATGTGTGTGATGTCTCCAGCCCATAATGATCACTCACTGTGTTAGAGGTTAGCTCTCTCTAACAGTTATGATGACTTTGGGGCATCTGTGATGAGGGAGCTCCTGGGAGGGTGAGGACAAGGTGATTTGTAGGAAGGAGAAACTTCAAGTCATGTTCTCCCGTTAATCTCATCAACTGGTAGATCCAAAACAAGAGCTGCCAACAGGCATCAATTATACCCTAAGTAATTGCACACATGATTGTATTTAATTCTCACAATAGTCTTGCAATGCAGACATTATTACTATATTATATAATTATCTCGCTTTTTGATATCAGAAAACTGTAGTCTACAGAGGTTAGGTAATTTGCTCAAGGTCACCCAGTTAGTGGCAGAGCCAAAATTCAATCCAGATCTGTTGGAATCCAAACCCCATGCTCTCTCCACCATAACAGCTCATCCAAGACTACAACAGCTGGTTTCCAAACACATCTCAGGTTCTTGGGATTCTACAACATCTGTGTCTCTCAACACAGGGCATCCTATCTATGGAAGGTCCCCAGGTGACACGAGGAAGGGATAAATCTGCCCTCTCCCCACCTCATAAGAAAGGACAAAACAGACCCGTTCCATCTGGTGTTGTATAAAGCACAGCTTTGCCAGGTAAAGTCTGGAAATGAGGTGGTACCCACTGCTGAGTACCAAATGTTATAGAGCTAATTAACCACAGAGATTTGGGAAGAAACCCATTAAAAAGACCAAATACAGTGTGAACAAAAAGCAAGTGGTAATGTTGCCGCTTATTACCGTTATGGCCATTAATATTAATATTAATACTATTATTTAGTTTTATTATTACTCTGATACATCATTGTTATTACTGCCTCCTAGCATCTTCACCATAAATCTATCACCAAATGTTTTAGAGGTTTAATCTTGTTACAGTGAGGTAATTAAACAAATAGAAATAATAGTTGCCGAATTGCAGAGTTACATAATTATTGCTCCTCAATGGAAACCATAAATAAAACTTACATGTCTTGATAGCAGTTATATTAACAACAATGGAAATGTTGAAGGCTAAAGCTGAAGAATTATGTAATGGTTACATAATTAAATAATAAATTATCCTGGAACTACGGGGACATGCACTGTATAAAGCAGCTTACAGAATGAAGGGGAAGAGGAAATCATTAAGCAATGGGGAAAAAAAGATGTGCCTATGGATAAGAAGCAGAGCAGCCTGGGCCCTGGAATGAGGATCCCTGGGGTTTGTAGTACCCCGAGCTCTCCAAGTTCCCATTCTAGATTCAGACATGTATGTGGATTTTATCACCCCCGGAACACAAGTAATTTGTCTAAGGCTATAAATCACTTGGATAATATAATCTCCTTAACTGAACAGCTTATCACGTGTGGCATACATTTAATCTCTGTGTTTTAAATTATCTCAAAATTTAGCTTTAGTCTTGGCTAAGTATTATATAATGACTCTTCAACTAACTTCATTGATTCAATGACTAGTGGGTGCACGTGGGGTGGAATGCTTGCCACAGGTAGAGAATAACACTGTTTTGGAAAATATTCAAAACTCAATCACTGCATCACGACATTTCCTGGGTTGTGTTATCACAATATTAACATACCCAAATATTTGGAAAGACTAAAATATTTGATGTTAAATCAAATATCCTGACTGACTTGCTAATTTTTTATACCAAAGCTCGGCAGTCTGGCTGCCTGGGTTTTATATAAAGGTGTGTTTATGGAGATCTGGAATGGGGGACACCATCCTCTACCTGAGGACCATAAAATTAGCACCTGCTCTAAAGACTGAGATCAGATGGGGATGCCAGAGTGATGGCAACACATTTCACACCCTGAATCCGCCTGTCTCCCTGGGTGTCAGCAGAACCAAGTAGGTTGTTTGAATGGATGGCACGATTGGATGCTCGCAGGCTGCCAGCAGCAGGCAGCATGAATAAGCACGTGGCATGGCTCAGCGGTGACAATGGGGAGGCAGAAGGCTGTTGTCCAGAGCCAGCAGGGGACAGAGCCAGGGTCTGCCAGCCTCTCTGTGATTCACATTTCAAGGAAGCTCTCACCTCTCCATAAGTTCTGTTCTAAGAGTAGCCAGTCTGGGCATTATCATAATGGTGTCACCTGGGAGGCTGGGAAGAGACAGAGGAGCAGTCTATTGGGGAGAACAAATTGACTCCTGTCTCCTTACTTGGCTCCACTTGACAAGTAAACCTGGTGACTGGAAAAGGACGGCCTCAGGAGAGGCCATGCCAAGGAAGGGCAGGCGACAGGGCCATCACACCTGCTGGCCTGGGGGAGCCAGAACAGACTGCCTGGCGTCAGGCCCTCCAGCTTGGGTAGTCAATTTCCAGCATACAGCTCTAACCTGCCCCTGGCCTGCATGCAGACCACGCTGCCCATCTGTCCCTGTCACTGTGCTATGGGGATGAAGAACACATAGAACTCAAACCCTCTGTCATCATGTTGTCTCCCTGCTCCGGGTATCTCATCTTCAATCCTGTGATCCTTTTTATCTTGCCCCAGAAGAAGGTGAAAATAGAGTTCTTCTCCAAATAAGCAGGGACAGTTTCCACAATCCTGAGACCACAAGAACTTTTCTAAGGGCTCTTTGTACCATTGTTCTAGTGAGCCACATGAAAACCTAGGCAGTGTCCAGTTCCTTCAGATACCACTGAGGGCGCTCCTGAGGTGCTAGGGTGCTGCTGAAAGTGCTGGAGCTTTGATAACAAACGAACCTGGTACATTAGTCAGCTTGGGTTGCTGTAACAAAACACCATAGGCTGGGTGGCTTCAACAATAAAAATTTATTTTCTTACAGTTCTGAAGGCTGGAAGTCCAACATTAGGGTGCCATGCCCGCATGGCTGGGCTCAAGTCAGGGATGTGTCCCTGCCTTGCAGACAGCTGCCTTCCCATGTATCCTCACATAGTGAATGGGGGTGGGGGATAGAGAGCCCTCTTATAAGGGCACTAATTCCATCATGCAGGTCTCACCCTCATCACTATATTTAGCCTTAATTAACTCTCAAGGGCCCCATCTCCAAATACTATCATTCAGATTCTAAAAGTCAGGCTTTGAATATATAAATTTTGGGGAGGATAAAACATTCCATCTGTAACCCTTGGGTTTTAATTTCAGCTTCTTGTTAGGTGTGGATTCCAAATGACTTCAACCCTCTGAATTTCAGTTACCGCACCTCTAAAATGTGACTAATGGTACCTACTACACTGAACTGCTGTGAGAAATAGGATGTGTTTATGTCGAAAAAGCCTCACTGCATACCAAGTACTGACATGTCGGTTCCCTTCCCTCCCTCTTGCCTCTTTCACCGGGTCTCTGATTTAGTCTAGCACCAGTTTTTATCAGGAGTTCTATCCTCACCTCTTCCCTGCCCTTTCCACCCCACATGAAAAACATCTCATTTAAGATTCCCTCCTTCCTGGTAGTTTTGGCTGGGTTGCAGCTATTTTCTCAAAAATAACAGCAGCCCTGATAATTCTCTCCCAGGAGCTAGGAAGCCTCCTCCTTTCCCTAGAGCCCCAGAAGGGAAGAGATCACTGTCATAGGGGCTTAGGCGGGACATGGAGATCATTCTCCAGCTTCATGGGCACAGTCCTCCTCCTACGCTCTGACGTCCCCTGGAATGGGTTTCCTTAGACACCACGGTGACCCTTCCTGGGTTTCCTCCTTGTCTCGCTTCAAAGCCTCTTGTGTTGCAGGACCCAGATCCCATGAGATTCTTCCCGGAGATGGAACCCCAGCCCCTCCCCAGCCCCCAGACAGTACTGATTGTCTCAGCAGGGTTATCTCTATTAGCCGCTGCCAACGTCAGTGCGTGGAAACAGTGCAGTGTGAGATGCTTCCCCTGACTAACGTCTTTGTACTGAGCGGGGGAATCAGAACGGAACAGATGTTTTAAGGACTCCATAAATCCGTGAAGATAAAAAACCACCCACCCAGCACTTTTTAACAATGCGCCATGCTGATGAACCAGCATATCGGAAATACCAAAATAAATATAAAATCCCACTGAAGCCTGGGAATAAATCTTAGGGATTTTTTTTTCTTTTTTCCCTTGCAACATACACCAGACATCATTTTTAATACTCAGTGAAGACCCACAACTGGGAACAGAAAGTCTGTAAAAACGCTGCTGCTTCCATCCAAAGTGACCCAATGATCAACCACAATATGCGTGAATCACCCTCCAATTGCTTCCTGAAAAACTCATTTCTCTCCATAGAACCTTCCCCCCAACACTTCCAGTGTTGTCATGTTTCTTCTCATAACTCCTTGCTGAATTCCAATGAGGTTTTCTAATTAGCCTAATTAATTTTCTGCCCAACTTAATAAGACTGTCTCTGGTTCAGAAATAATTGGACTTCCCAAACACCATTTTCCCTCCCTCAATTTCTCAGTGGTGAGTTGTGATCCAGCCTCCTTTAATAATTCAAAATTAGCTTCTGTTTTTCAGATGATGGTTCATGTTCGGAAAGTTATTTAGTTTTTTCATTAACACTCTCACATCGCTCTCTCCCTCCTATGAAGAATACTTTAAAAAGCACTAAAAATAAAATGAAACTTGGATTCCTTCCTGGAGAGAAAAAATCCATTTGGGATCAAGGTTTCAATGGATTCTTGCTTCCTACACTATCAATTTCAGCAAGGTAAATTAATGACCTGGATAAAGCATATTCTTATAAAGTTTGGTAGCAGCTATGAAAATAAGCCCTAACAGGCCAAGTACTAAAATCATTAAAAAAAAAAAAAATCTGAAGCACTTTCAGGCAACTACATTTCCATGGAAGAGCAGCTTCTCTCTAACCTCTTGCATATGTGTTTTATGTGGTTGCGAATTTCTTACTCCAGGAAAATCAAATTGTTACAAATATCATTGTGTTCTCCAAATGAGTTTTTAAAAAGGAGGAAGAGATAAGAGGTAAGGAAAGAGAAGATGAAAGAAAAGTTGGTAAGTTAATGAAAGTGTCCACGTCCCCATGCATGTTTGAATAAGCTCTGCAGAGCTGTGTAAATGGCATAGTGTCTTCTGTTTGCTCTCAGGTTCCAGAACATCAGGCAATCATATCCTCTATAGTATTGGTTTTGCAGCCCCAGGAATACTTCTCTTGGAACCATGAAGATGGAATTATTTTCTCATTCCCTATAAAAGCCTGAAGCAGTTCTTTAGAGGACTTATAAATATGCCTGTGGACAGGGCCAGGGTATAAAGAGCACATTAAGATGTGTGACTCTGATCCTCCCTGTGCACTGGGGTGTGCAGCTCTGAACCTTCTCATGATGGCAGCACGTTCTAAGTGGGATCATAAAGTTGTGAAGGTTTTCAAAGAATTAAATCCAAACAATAGCTATATAGGTGTATGCTTTGTTTTCTTTGGATGACCCTAGAATGGAGTTATTGAGGGTCGATCCCTCCTTCTCTTAATAAAAACGGGTGACCCACTCATGTTCCAAGAGTCGCTGCTTCTTTGCTGAATCATCTAGGCAGGTACAGGCTTTAAGAAAATATGCAGAGGGCTGGGGACGGTGGATCACACCTGTAATTCCAGCACTTTAGGAGGCCAAGGCAGGCGGATCACTTGAGGTCAGGAGTTTGAGATCAGTCTGGCCAGCATGGTGAAACCTCATCTCTACTACAAATGGAAAAATTAGCCAGGCACTGTGGTGTGTACCTGTAATCCCAGCTACTCAGGAGGCAGAGACAGGAGAATTGCTTGAAACCGGGAGGCGGAGGTGGCAGTGAGCCAAGATTGTACCATTGCACTGTAACCCACGTGACAGAGTGAAACTTTGAGGAAAGAAAGAAAAAGAAGAAAGAAAGAAAGAAAGAAAGAAAGAGGAAAGAGAAAAAGAAAGAAAGAGAAGAAAGAGAAAGGAAGAAAAAAAGCAAGAGAAAGATGAGAAAATAGGCAGAAAACTCTAAGTTTGGGGACAATAGTTTCTTGCTGAAGAAAGCGTCTCTCCCTCTCCTCTCATTAAAAGAGCTTGGGGATGTTGCTTTGAAGACAGTGCTTCACACTGAAAGTGAAGTATGGTTCACTTTTTTTCAAATGTAAATAACATCCCTTTCCCAGAAATGTCCAGAAATGAAGTATGCCTATTATATCACTAGCCCACATCATCAGTTTGCTACAATTAGCTAGTGAGGATGTGGGACGGGGAGTTGGGGACAAGGGGGCGGAGATAGAAGTTGTATTAAAGGATCAAGGAAGAAAATGAAAAGAATGGTACCATTTGTAGCTAGGTATTTAAATGAAGCTTGCTATTGGCAGCCAACTAGGATAGAGTGAAACTGACTAAAATAGCCTCTAGTGAACTTACAATCTTGGGCTTCCCTACTTGTTACTTAAGTAAGGCTACTTGCTCTCAGCAGAGCCTGCAGTGCTCAGGGTGACCACCGGGAGATTCTTCGAGATATGCTCCATGTAGAAACACAGACTATTCAATGGAGTTCTGTTGAAAATTTGAAGTTAGTAAAATAGTAGCTAAACATTAAATCTTTTATCTACTTATCCATTTTATCCGTAGGATATACTTTCCATGAGGGCATTTTAACATGTTCTTTGCATTTTAATGTTGAGGTGGGTTTCTTTCCTCAATGCTGGCACATTTTACTAATCTTTGTCCCAACTACTCTTACTCTGGTTATTTCTTTGTGTAATAATCAGATGACTTTGAATCCTGATTTTATAAGAATATCTTAGGAATAGCATCCCATTAAGAAAACGTAACAACAAATATAATAATAACAACCACCTGAGGATTTAACGTCACGTCACCTCAGTGTCTCCATTCGACAATGTCACAGCTTGATGCTTTGAACTTCCCCTGAGCTAATGGAAACATCTCTTTGCTCAGCCCCGTCTCACCTGGCATTGAATATGGACCTAACACATCCCTGAAAATGGGTTCTAGAAGGGCAGGAAGAGAGTCAGTGTCGAAATATTCTTTCACTCAAGTTTGCCTGTACTGTGCAGCTACATATCAGTCGTAGGTAGGGTGATAGGTTAAAACCCCTGGGGAAAGTGGTGTGCCCTGGTACATGGTTGAGGAGCTAGTCAGGCGGAGTGCTGGAATGACTCCAAGAGAAGGAATTTAGTATGGTGAATTGGTTATAAAGTTCTGGAGAAGTGAAAGAGGAGATGGTAGCCCTACATACGGATTAGCAGTGACAGGAAGTCTCCACTAGGCCAAAGACTGAAGAACCAAAGAAAGAAGTAATCTTTCTGATGGTAAGAACTGGAGCTTCCTGGTAGGAGCTGGAGCCACGGCACTGGGCCTGTTATGTGGAAACTGGAATCACAAAGGAGATGTGGCTGTTTCCAGAGATGCTGCTCCTTTCCTGGAAGGAGATAATGTATGGAATTAGGAGTAGCAGCCCAAAGACGGGCTGCCCCTGCTGAAGGCATGGGATGTGGCCCAGGGCTCTGAGGTGGCATTTGAGGCCCTTGTTCTAAGCCGCATCATCAGCCAAGTTTTTATAAATCATAAAATTGCTGGATCCCCTTTCTAAACATAGTCCCTGATTCTGCTTCAATGACCTTCCTCAGAGGTCAACTGCATAGCAGACAAAGGAGCATTTCTGTTTAATGGCTGAGAATTCACTGGCCATAAATTTCACCCAGTACCCTAGGCCTGTGTGTTATGATCAGGTAAAGTAAGTCAGAGGACTAGCCCGTTTTCTCTCTTCATCGTGAATCAAATTTCCTCTTTTTCCTGAGATACGATAATCCCTGATTATAGCAATTTTTGTGTGTGTGTGAGATAGGGGTCTTTCTCTGTCACTCAGGTTGGAGTGCAGTTCTGTGATCACAGATCACTGCAGCCTCAACCTCCAGGACTCAAGTCACCCTCCCACCTCAGCTTCCCGAGTAGCTGGGACCACAAGTGCACACCACCAGACTCAGCGAATTTTTATTTTTTTTCTAGAGACAAGGTCTTTCTATGTTGCCCAAGCTGGTCTTGAACTCCTGGTCTCAAGTGATTCTCCTGCCTCAGGCTCCCAAAATGCTGGAATTACAGGTGCATCACCATACTCTGCCAACAATTCTTTAACAAGAGGAGATCCCTTCTAGTTTGTCTAGAGTACCTCCATTCCTATTCTTTCTCACTTCTGCCCTTCCTTTCCTTTCCTCAAGAAGTGTTAGCAGACAGTAAAAATGACATGACTTCCCCCTTCCTACCACCATTGACACAACACCTACCCTTCATGGACACCAATGAGAGTGTGGGTTATTGATGGTGATAGCCCAGATGCAACCCAGGAGCCCTTTCAGAATTAGAGCTAATGCCAGCAAGGAGCTGCTGTCTCCAGTCTAGGCATCACAATTTTAAATTGTTTCTAGAAGTTAAGACAGTGATCTCTACTGGCCAGTTCAGAGAAACACTAGGAAAGGAAATAGACAGTCCTCTCGATTCAAGGAAACATGCTTCTATTGCCTCTCCTCAAATAAAACTTTGAACTAGTGGTTATTATGCTTACTTTGCAGGCATATTAAGCAATTTGGCCAAAGCTTCAGAATGAATTAGGAGACAAAGTTGGTATTAGAATCAAGGTCTGATTTGCTCTAAAACCCACATTACTTTCACTAGATAGTGTTGCTTCCTATTTTCTGTGTGAATAGCTTTATAAAATGCAAAACTTGTTCAAAAGAAAATCCTTCCACATATGAATTTGAACATTCTGGTGATAATATGCCATGCTGGAAAAGTTGCCAAGTTTCACAAATAAGAATACAGGATGCCCAGTTAAATTTGAATTTCAGATGACTAAATATTTTAATACAAATATACGTCCCAAATATTGCATGAGACATACTCATATTAAAACTACTTGTTTATCCAGAAATTAGAATTTAGCTGGTCATCCTCTATTTTTTGGCAACTCTACACACAGTCTGTCTGTTTCTTAAAGTCTTGAGCCCAAGCTTCACTTTGCTTTGGTAAACTGAAAATGCTGTCAAGGAAAGGTCATTGTTCTCTCTTCCACACCTTGCCAGTGTTCACCCTCAGTGTCACTGGGATTCCTCCTAGGCCAAGAGTGAAATGTTGTACATTTCATATATATATATATGTATATATCCAGTATATATCCACATTTATAACTTACATGCCCTGCTGTGTTCAACTGAGGTTTTTAAACCAATTTTTATTGTATAATTTATCCACAATAAAATGTAGCCATTTAGCTATGTGGCTCAATGAGTTTTGATGAATATTACATCTGTATAACCACCACCCTCAACAAAACCACACTCCCACTGTCCCAGAAAGTTACCTCATGCTTCCTGCAGTCCATCTCCAAGGCTCTTTAGCCCCAGACCATCACATTTCTGCTTTCTGTCACTTTAGATTAGTTTTGCCTTTCCTAGAATCTCATGTAAATGGAATCATAGAGTTTTGCCATCTGCACTCTTCTGGATCTGGCCTTTTCCACTCGTCAGATGGCCTGAGTTCATCCACATTGTTGCTTGTATCAATAGTGCATTCCTTTTTACTGCTGAGTCATATTTTGTCGTTTGGATTTACTGTTAATTGTTTATCCACTCATCTGTTGATGGACATGGATTGTTTTCAAATTTGGCTAATATAAATAAAGCTGCTATGAACATTTGTGTACAAGTCTCTGTGTAGACATATGATTTTATTGGTCTTGGACAAATACCAAGATGTGAAATGGTTGGTTTATATAGTAGGTGTGTGTGTTTTTTTTGAGATGACGTCTCACTCTGTTGCCCAGGCTGGAGTGCAGTGGTGCAATCTTGGCTCACTCCAACCTTTGCCTTCTGGGTTCAAATGATTCTCCTGCCTCAGCCTCCCAAGTAGCTGGGGTTACAGGTGCATGCCACCATGCCTGGCTAATTTTTGTATGTTAATTAGAGACAGGGTTTTGCCATGTTGACCAGGCTAGTCTTGAATTACTGATCTCAAGTGATCTGTCCACCTCAACTTCCCAAGGTGCTGGGATTACGGGTGTGCGCCACCATGTCTGGTCTGTGTATTTGACTTTATAAGGAAAAAACTACAACTTTTCAAAGTGGTTCTAGAATTTTCCATCTTTCCAACAGTGTGATAGTTACAGTGACTCTACAGACTCCCCAACACTTGGGTACTGTCAGGCTTTCAACTTCTAGCCATTATCACAGGTATGTAGTGGTATCTTAGTGGTTTTGGTTTGCATTACCCTGAGGTCAATTGAGTTCTAAAATATTCTGAAAAATTCCATAAATGTTGGCTTCTGCATTTACAAAGCAATTTTTTTGAGTATCAGTGCTGTGTCAGATACCACTCTCCAGCCACTGAGTCTAAAATGGCAAGTCACAGAGATGATCTGTGCCCATTATGGAGCTGATAATCAAGCGTGTGAGGCAGATATTAAACAAACTCACAAATATAATTATATAGCTACAAATGGTGATAAGTATAATTTTTAAAATAAATAGATCACAGTGACAGAGGATATCAGGGTAGACGCAGTAGGAAGGGCATCCCAAATGGCCTGAAGAAGGGAGAGAGGCAGTGGCTGTGGGGTGGTTGGAGGCTTCTTCCAAATGGAGGAAAAGCCCCACATGGGAGTCCCTGGGTGGAGGCAGGCTAGTGCTGCCCTCTCAGCCTAGAAGCAGGTCACAGGGGTTGGGAACACCCACCGAGGCAGGGAGGAGGCATGTGGTGAGGAGAGAGACCAGGCAGCCCCATACACCGCAGAGCTCCCCAAGTCCTGGGAAGCATTTAGGATTGGATCCAGAGTGGAACAGAAAGTCGTTCCTAGGTAAACAGGAGAAGCACAGGCTCATTCAAAATCTCACCCGGGCTCCAGCAATGAGAGTGACTTAAATGAGGGGGAGAGTGAGATGGTAGTCAGAGTCTATTGCTGTGGTTTCACAGAAATGGCCAAGGGGTGAGCCGTGGAGGAAAGCGGAAATGAAAAAATTCAAGATGCATTTTGAAGATGAAATCAACAGGATTTAATAATGACTTAGATGCCAGAATTATACCAAAGGGAGGGTCAGGAGGCCACTGGGTCTCTGGCTTGAGCAGCTGATTTGATGAAGGGACCAAGTAGACAGAAAGAAAGACCCGGTTGGTTGTCGGGGGCAGGGGATGGGGGAAACAAGGCGCCCTGCAGTGGCTCCAGTAACTGTCATGACAGGCCAGTGTAGCAAGCTCTGGAGAATGAGGTGAGGAGCTTGTTGCCAGAGTGACACTTTCCCTGACAGTAAAAACACATGGGTATGTGACAAAGTGCATGTGACTGAAGGCCATAACTTAGCGTCTCTAAGGAGACACTGAGGGGGATCCCGGGCCACCACGCAACAATGTGTAGATCCTGGACAAAAGTAGCGACACCCAGTCTCAAGAATAAAATCAAAAGAGTTCTCTCTCAAAAATAAAGCAAGGCAAGTATTTGGAAAGACGAACTTAGAGAAATGGGAACGTTAGGGGGTTGGTGCTTTCTCTCTGTTGAGTGTAAGCAGGTGCCTAATGGCTTGCCACTTAAGGTTGGGGGACCATAAGTAAACAAACCAAGACTCACTGGGTCCCCAGACAGTGTGCCCAGCTTGCTTTCATACCACATTCTTGGAGCAACTGCTGTGTGCAGGAACTCTGCCCCATGTGAGAAACGCAGGAACATTTAAGATTCAGTGATTGCCCTGCACAGCAGATGGGAAAGTGTCCTAGTATCCTGTAAATAAAATGAAGATGCCTGTAATTCCAGCACTTTGGGAGGCTGAGGCGAGTGAATCACGTGAGGTTAGGAGTTCGAGATCAGCCCGGCCAACAGGGTGAAACCCTGTCTCTACTAAAAATACAAAACTTATCTGAGCATAGTGCCAGGCACCTGCAATCTCAGCTACTCGGGAGCCTGATACAGGAGAATCGCTTGAACTCGGAAGGCGAGGTTGCAGTGAGCCAAGACTGTGCCATTGCACTCCAGCTTGGGTGACAAGAGCAAAACTTTGTCTCAAAAACAAAACAAAACAAAGAAAAACAAACAAAAAAAATCCAATGACAATGCAGAGACATAAGTCAACAACAGAGGTGCGTCCTGGGGGTTGAGAGATGAAGGTAGGGAGCACCTAACAAGTCAAATTCCTTCAATTATAAAAAGGAAAATAATGCTTTTTCTATAGCATGTAGCCTGCAAATGTTACAATGACATGCATTCTTCTTGTGATTTTTGGATGCTCACTCTGTGCCCAGCACAGTTCTGAGCACTTTGCAAGCTCTATGTCATTTCCTCTTCATACCGACCCTGGAAATGGGTATCAGTATCATTCCTTTACTGCATGCCAGGAAAGGGCAGCTTACACATCTTCATGGGTCCCAGGTCGCATTCTTAGGAAGTGGCCAAGCCAGGCTGAAACCCAGGTCCCTATGATCTGTACGGCCATGCTCCTGATCGCTTTATGATTTTCTTTTTTTCTTTCTTTTGAGACAAAATCTCACTCTGTCACCCAAGTTGGACTGCAGTGGAGTGATCTCGGCTCACTGCAACCTCTGCCTCTCAGGTTCAAGCGATTCTCCTGCCTCAGCCTCCCAAGTAGCTGGGAGTACAGGTGTGTGCCACCATGCTTGGGTAATTTTTGTATTTTTAGTAGAGACGGGGTTTCACTATGTTGGCCAGGTTGGTCTCGAACTCCTCACCTCATGATCCGCCCTCCTTGGCCTTCCAAAGTGCTGGGATTACAGGGGTGAGAACAACTTCGTCCAGAAGCAAAGTTGGCTGCATCTGTTATATCTTCTCCAGTGCCTACTCCTGTTTCACCTGTTGATTTATCACAGTGCCCAAAGAGTGTGGATGATTTATGTGCAGCGGTCGTGGATCTAAGTGATGAGGACATGTGCTGCTCTGTCCTTTTTTCCGTCTGAACAAAACGAGGAGGCAGGCCGGCCACAGAGGTACACCCAAGAGAAAGGCCAAGCCGGGGCCCCTCTGATGTCAAAAGCCCCTGTGCCGTGGGAGAAGCAGGGCGGCCTGGTGACCGGGCACCATCCAGCCCCAAAGGCCCCTGCATGCTTTACGTCCAGAGGCCAGCCTCCAGGGTAGTGGAGAGAAAGAGAGGTAGTGCTGGGCAGTCCCCTCCCATCTGTTTTGCAGAGGAGAGCCATTCTGAAAAAGCACATCGGATTAAATAAATTAAAAGAATTGCACCCCCCTGGGAACATTCTCAAATCAGAAAGTCATTTGAACCGATGTGTGATTCACTCAGAGCCTCTCTCCTTATAGGAAACGAATACAATCAAAATAAAATCACTTCATGGAGTAAGAAGCAGTGGATGGGCACGGGGAGGAGGGGGCAGGTCACGGAAGGCACGGTGTTTACAAAGCCATTAAAGGAGAATGAATACATCTAGTCTGGTCCCAAAAGGCAAAGAAATGTGAATTTTCACATATAAATAGAAAACGTTTACAGTGGTATTAATTCAAGACCGAACTCCTAATGCTTCTCCGTGTTAGCCGAGTTTGCGGCGTCTGCTTAGCTGCACTGACCCCTGCTGGTGAGAATTCAGAATTATCTGCTGCTCTGTGACTATTTTCAGACAATGTCCACGGTCCTGGTGACTGCCTGGCAAGCGTGTGTGTCCACCGTCGGGTACTACATGGTACACAACCTGGACGCCTTACCAAGAATCACTTTGCCACTGCAGTACCCAGAAGCTACTAGAGTATCTAGTACATAGTAAACCCTTATCAGAGCTGGTTGAGTGCGTGTATGACCAAACATGTGCAATTCTAACACCTAATTGAACAAATTTAGCTTATGGCACCTTTATCTTGTACGAACAGTGACAAGAAAACTTCTTGAACACAATGGATTCTGCTCAGAAAGGTGTATCAGGTGATGCTAAAGTCACAATGTATAATGGCAGGTGCCATGTGATGCCCAGCGAGTGCAGTGGAGGGCCTGTTATCAATGATGGTGACACAGTAGTGATGTGTTGGTTGTGTCCTGGTGGAGGTATTCCTGGGATCACAGGATAATGAGGAGCTTGCCCTCATTAGGGACAGGGGTGGGGGAGTCTATGCAAAGGAACGGGGTAGGGGAGTCTATGCAGACAATGTAATATCAATGGCAGAGATATGAAAAAAAATTGCATGGAGCTTTCAGGGAATTTCCTTGGTGCTGCCAGCAGCTCCAGTGAGAGGTAGAAATGGCAGTGGAAGATGTATAAGAGATATGTGATATCTGTATCCTGAGACCCAGAAAAGCTTGAGATCATCCTATGGTCCATGTGGCCCCACAGAAGTGTTTGACATTTAGAAGCAGCATGGTTAATTTTGCATTTGATTTACAACACTCTGGCCAGATGATTTCAGGGGTACAGAAGGAGAAAAATGGAGGCAGAGAGTGTAGCTCAAAGCTATTGCATTTAGTAGGGACACAAGAGGAGCTTCATTAAGATGTCAGTAGCCTGGAGAAAGATTTGGGAGTCACAACCCAGAGGCACAAATATGTGTGCCAGCAAATGGAAGAAAGAACGGCTTCTGCAGGAAGATTCAGGTGGAGGAGCAGGACTGTCGGGGAAATTCAGAAGACATGCCAAGTTTGGGTGCTTGTGGGCTATTCAGCTGGCAACTCAATGAATGAGTTGTAAGTTCATAGGACAGTTTGACTGCTCATAGAGTTTGGGGAGTTGTTAGTTTATTGATTGTAGTAGTGAAAAGCACATTTTCCATCTGTGCCTTAGTTTCCCACTAGCATATTAGTATAAAAAGAAAATTGCTCCTAAGGTATGCAGTGGCTTGTAAGAAAGGCACATAATAATCTTAACATACATGTATAATAGAATGCTTTATTAAAAATTAGGTTTGTCATTTTCCTTTCTCACTGCAATGCTCTATGTTAGATATTTTTACACCAATTTTACAGGTATCAAAGTTGAGTTTCAAAGATTAAGGGACATGGGTACGACTCCTACAGCAAATTGGCAAGTGACATGTCAGGACCTCAGCTCCAGTCCTCTGATTCTTTTCTGCATGTATCATTGACTCTTTGTTATAATAATTTGTTAACATGGCTGCCTTTTTAAGAGGGAACACTAGACTCATGAAGGATGATATTGAAATTCAAAGTTTTATAAAAATGCCAAGTTTTTGAAGGAGGAAAAAGAAAAGCAACGTTCCATTATCTTCTAACCCTTGGAAGATAAATGTTATTTAAATGCATCGGCTTATTAATGTCTCTGCATCCTCTGAGTTGTATCATTCTAACACAGCCTGAAACTGCGAATTGTGCAGGAGGAGATAGACAACATGCTTAATGCTTATCTTGATCTGGAAAATTATACCGTAAAGATCAAGAAAGGCAAACTTAGTGCCTGGGAACATAATGAAAAAATGTATTCATGAGCATCTGTCTTTCTTTCATTTGCCGCTTCCTGCTTTCCTGTCTGCAAAACTTCCACCACACAAATTTGGCTACATCATTTCCCTACATACAAGTCAATGGAGAGCTCCCCATTGGGCAATGTTTTACTTTTCCAGGGTTGAAAAAGAACAGCATAGCATGTGTCCAAATCCCGCCAGCATGCAAGAAATGTACCCAAGCAGCCTGTGAAAGATGTCTGTCCCTGATGGTTGCCACAGGGAAATAAATTAAATCTTACCAGCCCTGAAAGTCACCTTCTGAGGGAGGAATTTTTGTGTTTGCTGGTCCCCACCACATCTACCTTTACTGGCAGCAGGAGAGGATGACGCCTCCCAGAAAGAGGGCAAAGGAAACATTCCCGAGTGGACGATGACCAGGCTGAGGGGTCCGGAATGACCCTGCCTCCCCTCACAGGGCCCTGTTCTTTCGTTGTCAACCTCCCCCCAGCCCAGGTGATAGAGGGGCAGCAGAAAGAGGGACACAGACTGGAAAATTAGCATATTTCCTTGAAATGCTTCTTTTGGTGAATTAAACAGGAGTTCTTTTGCACACTGAAAAGGATTTATTTTAGTGCTACAACTTTTCTTATTCTCTGTAAAGGAGTTAGCTTCTCTAAGAGCTAGAAATATTTTCCAAGAAATGTTTATAATTATCCTAACATATTTGTATAATGCTTTGTAATAAAATAAGTGTCTCATTTTTTCTCTCACCACCTAGTATAGGTTAGATACTTTTGCCCCAATTTTACAGTTAACAAATGGGATTTCTAAGATGAAGTGACTTAGCTAAGACCGGTAGAGCAAATCAGGAAGTGATGAGTGAGGACTTCAACTCCAGTCCTCGGATTCTTTCCGTACATGTCATTGACTCCTTGTTATAGTGATTTGGAAAACAAAGAAGAAGAGGGCAGAGTGATGGGGACTAAAGTGGTACTAAGCCAGGGCAAAGGCTCCAATCACAGCAAAAAGAGTGATTCTGATACTACGATGTTTGCACAGGGCTTTTAAGTTTTTTAATGCCTTCTAAGTTATTTCGTCACTTTGGCCTCATCTTGCAAGGCAGGTTTTTGTAACTCTTCCCACTTAAAAGATGAGAAGACTGAGGAGCAGTACCCTTAACCTGTCCTGGCTCAGGCTCCCTGAATGGCACCTCCTCATTCCTGTGTAGGGGACAGGCACTCTGCTTTCTTTAGGAATCCCTTTAAGTCCTAGAGGGAAAGCTCTAGGAAATACAGCCCCAGTATTACAAGCCATAATCATTGTCACCCAAGGCTATAACTCCATAAAGTGGTTTCTGGTAGCACCATCAATCAGAGAGCAAGTCAGCACAACCCCAGTGGAAGTCCAAGCCTCTGTGTGCCAGGGTTTGTTTTAGGACTGCCATCCCTTTACAGACTCCAGCTGAATCACCATTTGTAGCTCTGTCTGACCCTTCTGCGTCAGTACTCAAAGTGTTTGCATTTGCCCAGGAGATAAACGCCGATGCAGCTAGCAGCTCACAGTTGTCTAACATTTAGTCAGTATCCAGGGATCCAGATGTGATACAAACTCTGCACTGACACTGGTGTGGTGGGATTGTGTTCGAGGGACACAGAACAACCGGGATTTGAGCATCTTTGGGGCTAAGGAGACTCTAATTAGTTCCATATTCTATTCATGTGCCTTGAATAAGCCGGGTTTGAGGGTAAGTATGTAGTCTGTCCTTAAATAACTGCAGAGGACACTTGTGCTTATTCATTAAAATTGTTTCAGAGTCTAGGAACAACACAATTAGAAAATTCTTCTTAAAAAAAACATTAATGGTCTAATCCATATCCAATTCCTTAATAGACTTCTTTCTTCCTTTTACCTCTCCTGACAGCTTTTCTGCAGACTGCTTGAAGAGGGAATTGCTAGTAATTTTTGAAATTGGGAGATACTTTCCCCCAGGATACTTAGTTTGCTTCTAATGACAGTCATTCCTTTTATGTTTTTATTAACTTGAGTAGGAAGGAGGGGTTGATTTGCATGTTCTATATTACAAACAATAATAATCTCTGTATAAATGTTAGATGGGAAAAACACGTATTTGTAGATTTGCTAAAATATTATAAGCCTACAAGAATAAAGTCAATTATTCAGTCCCTTTAGATGTTAAATTGCAAATTATTTGTGTGGAATTTAATAATACTTAGCACTTTACATATCTAAAGTACTTTACAAACACTATCAAATTAATCCTCTCAATGGCTCCTTAAAGTTAGGAATAATTACCTCTAATTCACAGATGGGGAAATCAGGAAAGGTTAAGAGATGTGCTTCAAGTTAGAGAAAGTTGCTATCTCCAAAGACAGGAAGGAGAATAGAACCTTCTTCTCAAGTAAGGGCTAATTTTGGAATATCAAGAGTTTCTAGCATACATGGTCATTTGGGATTCATCTTAAGAACCAATTTGAAGATGGCAGATTACTGATGTTAGAATATGCCATAAGAAAAATGAAAATAACCACAAAGTATACATTTGGTCCAGGTTCCAGAAGCAATAGACTAAATGGTAGAATATGCATTGGGGAATTGTACTGGATACATCTAAAACTCTAGTTTATCTCTATTATGCTGAAGAATGTACACAATTTCAAAAGAATAAGAATGGCTGCTTTCACAGTTTTACATGACCTCCCATTCTTATTGCTGTTTGCCTGTTTTCCTTGAGATACGGAAGGAAAGCCACAGGTGCAGTGGCTTGAAGATGTATTTGGAGAGTTGGGTGAGTCACCACTCTGCCTGATATGCCTCGCTCTGGCTAACCACTTAGTAGGAACTCCACATATCGCAATTCAATTTCATTGAATCTATGATCCTGAACACGTTTAAAATCTGTATGGCTAATTATTCCTTTTAGGAAGAGTACTGTGAAGGTTCTAGCGGTATAATTTATTTGGTTTTATTTTGTTTCATAATTTTTGCAGACACAAACCACATCTGGTTTCTGAAAAATAACATCAGTTTTTTAAGGACAATTTTCTATTTCCTTACAATATGGCTTCTACATTTTATTTCCACTTCTATATTATCTCTATCAAAATTGCTTCTTAAATAACTGCAAGACACTGGAAATGGATACATCTTAATCAATAATTATTATCTCTAAAATTTGAAAAAAAGTTAACAATAACCAGTGAAATGCACAATTGGGAAAGGGTTAATAATAAAGAAACAACTTGTTAAGTCTTTGTGTTCAGGTCTGTTAAATGTATGTCTAAAATCTCCACTTTTGTTAAAACACTGACATACATTATGAGAGAGAAAAATAAATAAGGGGTATTCTCTGAACTCCTTTCTTGCAACAATCGAACTAAACAATCAAACAATGCTAAAGACCTCAGATGGTCATAAATACATGAACAACTGACGAAAGTGAAGTTGAATCTATTGGGTTCTCATGTCAACCTTAAGAGGCTCCTCTTCACTTATCTCCTCAGTAGACAAGCACTTACACATTTAGTTCATTCAGACTTGATGTGTGCACTTGCTGCATTGCTGCTCTGAAAAATAAGGTATTATTTTATTTCTATATTCTTGCCCTTTACCTAGATTCTTTTCTTCTTGAACGCCTTCTCCTTTCTTTCTGTTTCTACCATAGCAGTCGGTTCTGTTTACGATGGTTATTTAATGAGAAATTTTTCTATTTTCAGTTGAGCAGCTTGTTTACCAGAATTTTCCTGTTTTAAATAAAAAGACATTAAAAGAAAAGAAATAACTCATAACATCTTACAATTGACATAAGTGCAACTAATCTTTTATCTAATACTGGAAACAGCTTGCCTGAAATCACAGATTCTATGTAATTCACAAAGGTTATTGTTTCCAGTCCAATAGAAAAACTGTATCATAATTCAGATTACAAATACCAACAGATATTTATATGGTTTTTATTTGTATTGGTGATTTCTTTTAAAAATAAAAAAATCATTTTTTAGTAGGCTTTACCACAGTATAAATAGAACCAAAGGATCATAAAATGAATAAATCCCAACACCACAAATGAGGTAAACATGTGACTCATAAAATAAAGTAACAAGTTATTGTTTGGAAATGTTTTCCAAAGGGCATAACAAAATTTGTCCAGCATTTACATATTTTGAGTTTATGTATTCTTTTATTTTTGTCTTTTGACTTTCAAGTTCAGGGGTACATGTACAGCTTTGGTACATGGGTAAACTTGTGTCATGGGGTTGGGTGTACAGATTACTTCATCACCCAGGTATTTAACCTAGTACCCATTAGTTATTTTTCCTGATCCTCTCCCACCTCCCAACCTCCATCCTCCAATAGGTTCCAGTGTGCAGTGTTCTATTCTTTTTTTTTTTTTTTTTTTGAGACGGAGTTTCGCTCTTGTTACCCAGGCTGGAGTGCAATGGCGCAATCTCGGCTCACCGCAACCTCCGCCCCCTGGGTTCAGGCAATTCTCCTGCCTCAGCCTCCTGAGTAGCTGGGATTACAGGCACGCACCACCGTGCCCAGCTAATTTTTTGTAATTTTTAGTAGAGACGGGGTTTCACCATGTTGACCAGGATGGTCTCGATCTGTTGACCTCGTGATCCACCCGCCTCGGCCTCCCAAAGTGCTGGGATTACAGGCTTGAGCCACCGCGCCCGGCCTGCAGTGTTCTATTCTATGTGTCCCTGTGTTCTCACCATTTAGCTCCTACTTACAAGTGAAACATACGGTATTTGGTTTTCCGTCCTGTGTTAGCTTGCTAAGGATAATGGCCCTGAAAAGGACATGATCTCATTCATTTTTACAGCTACATAGTATTCTGTGGTGCATATGTACCACACTTTCTTTATCCAGTCTATTATTGATGGGCATTTAGGTTGATTCCATGTATTCTGCAGTCCTCCACTCTACCAGCTGAGCTATTGAGTTTACATATTCTATGATTATACATTTTTATTTTTTAATTCACAAATTATGCTAAATATAGGCCATCCTTTATTTATATACTCCTGTTCTCCTCTTTCTCTTTGGATTTCCTCCTTAGTCTCTGCTTTCAACTATTTTTTATTAGTAATTCCACTTGCAAACTGCGTCCAGTATTGAAGTATTAAAGTAACTTAAATACACGCTTTATTTATAATTACATTTCTACCAGAAAATCCATGCTGACCTGAGCGAATAAGAAGGCAAAGTGCTGCAGTACATAGGAGAAAAGTCTAGCTTCCAAAGGTAATCTGAGAAAACAGAGTGCATTTCTGTCCTTGGGACACATTTGAAATGGGATCAGCATCCCCTGTGCTCAGGCACTTAGACCCGCGGTGATGAAGGCTCCACTCCTACAGTGGTACAGAACTCAGGCCTTCATCCTGGCCTCCGCCACCTGTCTTCTTCTAACCAAGCCCAGCCCCTTCTGGATAGGCCATCTCCCCAGGACTCAGGCTATTTGGAGGTGCTCTTAGGCTCCAAAAAACACCTTATCTCTTAAAGGTCAAGGAAATGATCAAAGATGATCAAACTTCTATTGTGACCATTACACTCTGCCTGAGCCCAGACGGCCCTCAGTTCCAGCTGCCACATTCAGGGTCAATAAACTATTATTCTAACTGCTTTTCACAGCCCACTGACTCGAAATTGACTGCCTGCAGCTCTGTTTTACTGCATGGAGAGGAGAGAAAAAGACAGACAGAGACAGAGAGAGACTCATGGATTAGAAGGACGGAAACCCCAGAGTCAAGAAAAAAAACTGAAGAAAATAAACATTTTTCTGTGACTTTTAGTGTGAGCCATTAAAAATGACACACATGGTTTACTTAGTGTCCTATCCTTGTCCAATTAGTAGGTAAGAACTATTTTTGTGAATAAAAAGCTAAAACTAATAAAATAATATTACCAATAGCCATTTGGTAATTTTAAAAGGGAACTATTTGTTGGGTGTTCATTGTATTCATTAGGTGTGCTTTAGGTTCCTTGTGTGCTCCATATGTAACTCTCACAACACCCTTTGAGAGAGGCAATAGTTACTACCCTTATTTTGCAATGTGGAAGTTGAGGCACATAGGTGCCGGCAGGTCTCCCAAAGAACCAGAAGCTTAAGCGGTGAGGCTGGGAATTGAACACAGCCTTACAACATAGCCCATGCTTTCTACCACGCCACTGTGGTCTCGTTTATCAGCCCTCCAAGTGAGGTTTTATCCCAGTATTGTAAATAAGAAAACGGAGAGTCGGTGACCAAAGTAACCTACTCAGCAATCTGCACAGTTAAGTGTCAGAGTGAAAACCCACGCTTGGCTCCAAAACTATTGATTTTTTCATTAAACCAAAATGTCAGATAATCACATTCCTGGGTGTAAGAGACTGTGCATTTAGCTCCCTCCTCATTATTGGTGTTTCCCTGTCATTTTGAGGCCCTCCCGCTCATGGTTTTCTAGGGTCTTCATCTTCAGGCACCTGCTCTAGATGTGCCTGCATTTGAAGAGTGAAGAGAAAGCAGCCCTTCAGGCTGCCTTTGGCAACTGCCGTTTCCCATCTGGGACTTTGTGTGATACTGGAATGTCCCTCCTCTCATGCTGCAAACACTGCCCTCCCTAGGAGAGTCCTTATGTGATACAGCAATGTCTTCCCATTCGTCCACTGGAAGTAAATAGGTAAGTTGCTCTACAGCGGACAAGTTCCAAAAAAGCGGCACTGAGATTCTCTGACTTCCACAGTTCTCCACAGGAACCACAGAAGGCAGAGCACATACATAGGCATGCCAACGGCGGCCAGTGTGAGGTGAGGAGAGGCTCGCCATCCGGTCAGAAAGCAGCTAAGAGGCACAAACCTTTCTCTCCGTGCTGGAATTGCACTGATAAAATAATGGCGACTCACTATCCCTGCGGGCTTTCAGGGGAGCCATTATTATCCTCACTTTTCAGATTGGGAAAATAAAGTTCCAAGAGTGTGAGTAACTGACTTGTAATATGCATACATGATAAGGTTGAAATTTGAGCCTTAAAATGCTCTGTTCCAAAACCTGTCTTCTTTTGTTTATTTCATTCCAACAAAAGCTGTTCTGTTATCTTGAAAGCAGTCAAAACACTATTAACACTGGATTCTTTTTTTTTTTTTAAAAACTGTGGGTGTGGGAGTGTTAGAAAGGATTTAGAAGGTAACACTTTTCCTCCTGCAAGTCCACTGAGGCATGGAATCTCAATCTTATTTATAATGTGACTGTAAGCTTGGCAGTGGGAGGGATTGTTGCTTCACTTGGCAGATGGAAAATTAGATGAATGGCCATGCAGGGCCAGTGCAAAGCTGCTGGGATCAAAGCCCACATCCCTTGGCCCCTAGTTCAACACAAGGCACCATAGAATCTCATTCTGGGGCTTTGACTCATTTGACAGGAGTTGTCCACACCACCCAGGTTGACTTTCTAACATATAAAGTATGACCAAGCACTCTTCTCTCCATGCACAAATTATTTACGTTCAACACAGTGTAGGGAAATTAAAGGAATGCTCATCACATTGTGAATAAATAGTTTGTGTCCACCTTGTAAATGTCAAAATCAAATAAGCTTCTCTGGGGAGTAATTCATGGCTTTTTGGCAAAGCATGGATGTCCACCTGAGGGCCATAGAACATGGTGTCTAATTATACCCAACAAACAATAGTAGAGCTATGTATCACAATTGAGAACTGGCTATGAAAGTTAGGATAGGAAGGGGGTCACAGTTTTCCTGAAAATTCCTCTAGAACTCACAATATTGAATGCAGCATAAAAGCCCTTCACTTTCATGACTCCGGAAAATTTTGCATTGGTTCTGCCCTATTTCACAAGTTCTTAGCTTGATACTAATTCACAGTGACCATTTTTAGCAGGTGAACACAGATTTCTGCTGGGCAAAATGGTAATAGGAAATGTGTAGAGACCTTGGGTAATATGTGAGACTTTTCTTGTTTCTGATGCCTAAAACAGAAGCCCGATAATACCTGTTCCACAAAATGAAACCCACAGGATGAGGGGTACCCAGAGCCACCGCCATTCACCCCCACACTGTGGCAAGTGACAGAGGATCCGGAGTCTTGCATTTCTCTGCATTTGCCTGGATTGCACGTGTCCATCCAAAAGAAGAATTTGAGGAGAGAAACCCAGGAGTGATGGCTGGCTCCGGCCATCCATCCCCATCCCCTGGCTTGCTGCTAATGAAAACTGCTGCTGCTGGTGAGTCTGGCAGCTTCAGGGACATGAGAGAGGGAAAAACCCACTGAAAGCAAAGGCATCAGTTTGATCTACAGTGTAATTACAGCCTTGCTGGGAGACAACACAAATTTGGCCCCTGTGCAGGCATATTTCTTTTTGTCCAGAAATTAATTTTCATATCAAAAAAGAGACCATTTAACTTAAGAAACCAAATTGGACAAAGGAAAGAAAATATAGAGAATGGCAACCTGGGGCCTGAGGTGTCAACCTTGTACTGGGCGTTTATATTTTTGACAGAGTTAGAGGAGAATGGGAACATTTTCTACCCACCCCCATCCTGCCTCCTGCTCACTCCAGGGCAGAAATCAAGAATGGGATTCCAAGCGGAAGATATTTGCAGAG